ACAGGTTCTTCCCCCAGAGGGTGATGGGTTGTATCTCAGGAACAGGTTCTTCCCCCAGAGGGTGATGGGGCACTGAACAGGCTCCCCAGGGCAGTGGACATGGCCCCAAGGCTGCCAGAGCTCAAGGAGTGTTTGGACAATGCTCTCAGACACACGGTAGGATTGTTGGGGTGTCCTGTGCAGGGCCAGAAGTTGGAGCTGATGATCCTTGTGGGTCCCTTCCAACCCAGAACATTCTATTATCCTACGAACTACAACCCAGGTATGAATTGAAAAGAAATGTAAAGGTAGCATAAAATTTAACCAACTTGCCTCAAACTTCATTTTGTCACACTCATAAGTATGAATTCAAAAGGACAGAATGAATAGATAGTTGCAATTATAAACAGAGGAAGCAGCATTTCAGCTCTTGCGTAAGATACATGATTCCTTTATGGAGTCAACTCAACTTAAAAAGAACAGGTAGTGCTGAACACAGGACAAGTAAAAAGTACAGGCCAGACTTCCGAAGGGAAGGAAAAGGAATATTTCTATTGCATTAGGTATTTAACCATATTTTCTAGACAGAAAAAAAAAAAAAAAAAAAAAAAAAACTATACAGTGAACAAACACCTATAGTATCCCTTTTCTGCCAATATTTCCTTTCTAGTAATCTTAAGGAGCTACAGCTAGCATTATTCTGTTGTCCCTACTCAGGCAACATTTACACTTCAGTTGACAATATAAAATAAGAGCAGACACATAACCCCTTAAAGATTATTTGTGGGCAATTCCTAACAAACTGAGGTAATTAATTTGGATCTGTGACCAAAGCAATACACTGGTTCTCCTAATCCACATTCTGATTGGAGGTCATTCGGTACTACCTAATCTGCAGATCTAAATGACTCATTAACGCTCTGAGAAGGGAAAAAAAAAAGTGACTGCAGCTGAGTCAAAGACACATCAAGGATGTGATGCATCCTATCATCTAAACTTACACAAATTCAATTTGCAATGGAATATGTAGAACACTACTTTTTTGAAAGATTAAACTAGATGTTCCTCTAACAAAAAATCTCATCCATATTTGTGAAACCTGAGAAACAAAGGGTATTCTGACTCTAAAGATCTCAGTATACTGGACAGACCCTCACATGTCTGCCATCCAACAAGAGGATTTTAACTCAGAATGTAACTCACCTGTTAGGACAGAAGCTTTCTGATAAACTGAAACAACCACTTTAGAAACCACTATAAAATGCCTAAAGCACAGAAAGACACCTCGCTCAGTAAGCATCAAACAGTAACTTTACTGAGCACCAAACGCTACCTTAACAGAAAACAGGAAGAGGAGCTTAAAGGCATCTTGTGACTTTAGACTTTCACACCTGTTACCTTGCTTTTGAAAAAACAAAGTCAGTCCATGGCTAACTAGGTCTGCTTTCAGCAAGGTGTTGGACTAAAAGACCACCTGAAGGAGGTCCAATCCAAACTAATTATTCTTTTATGCTCAGGTTCCTTCATTCTTATAATGACAACACTGCTCATTCCAAGGTGAAGAAGCTGTAACTCTTCATCAAAAGATAAGAGAAAAAGCCTACCACCTTGATTTGAAAGTGAAAACAGCAAATCCCCAAGCTCCAGCAATTAAAGAGAGATCTAAATATGGACAAGGCCTGGGAGAAGAAGGTTTTTGTTTTGTGTGATGGGTTATTTGCTTTAGGGGGTGGTTTTTTGTTTGTTTTTTTTTTAAATCAGGACAATCTAGAAATCAAAAAAAAGGAAGAGTTGGCAAAGAGATGGAATCTAGTATTTGATCTTAACAAAAATAAAAAGCATAGAGTCAGAGAGGGCAATAGAAAGTGGTTTTAGTTTGAAATAGTCACTTAGTTTTGACTTCATGTGATTTGACAGAAGTGTCTGTGGGTTCATGAAAGGAGCGCATACAGTAAACTTCTTGTGAATACCCTCATTGAATATAATTAAGTTTAAACCTTTGGCTTTACCCTAAGGTGGATGCTCTGTCCCTGAAATAGCATTCCTCTCTAGTCAACTGAAGTTGACTCAGCTAATCAGAATAGCTATTTATCTTGATGAGGGGTCTCTCTCCAGATGGAATCAATATGGAAAAGGGGCTCTTATATTTCCACTATGGAACAAGCACCTTGGTCTATGCCAGGATTTGTAAAACACTTCAGTTACACCGTACAATGATATCCTAATGAAATTCTAGAAGAGGCATTACGGTCATTTGGCTTTTTCATTTTTTTTTCAAATTATGAGATAGACAAATCAATATATCAAATTAATTTACAATGTGGCAACACCTGGGAACTCCTTGCGAGTTTATAAATTGCTTTTCTTCACCTTTCCAGGCCCTGCTGCCTTCCTCGTTCCCAAAAGCTCCAAAGCTTCTGCTCTTGATGTAAACAGTAACAAAACGCAAGTGACAGAAGCAATTTGGTTTACTTTTGTTATTCACAGATCTATAGCAGAATTATAAGTGTTTAACAAAATGACATTTCAGTTGCAAATTATAAAGAGGTTAGGAAAGTCAAATCAGCAGATGTTGACAACAAAATAATTTGCATTGGAAAAGGCATCCAGAAAGATCAAAGAACAGGAAGCCAGAACTTAACCTAATTCACAGCTGTTGACAGTAAGAATTCACTTTCTTACTAGTTCATCAGCATATAAAGTGTCATTGGTATCCATTCATCTGCTTAACCCTTTTCCGGTCCGTTCCCTCTCAAACAGTGAGTTTGTATGCAGTTAGATTTTCTTTTTTTAAAATACACCTCATAGAAGGTATTCAAATGAAAGTGACTTAGGAAGCTTAACAGACTGCTTCTTTTAAAACTTGATAAATATTATTTTAGAAGACAAACAGATCACAGGTCTAGAGAATATCAAGAGCCACAAGACTAATACATGGGAAATATATACAACATTGAAGAAGAAAAGACATCTTCCAAAGGAAGCTAAATGATTCTGAATTTGAAGATGACCTTGACATTCCCACTAACCCATTTTTCCAGCAGAAAGCAAAGATAATTTTGTAAGTGACATTAGCTGCACTTATGAAATATACATTTCAGTTCTACATACCATAGTTCATTTATGACATCTGGCAAGCAAAAGATATATTTCATCAATAAAGGATACCTCCTATACAAAAAAGACTACTTGACAGGCTCTTCAATTTCAATAAACAAACATACCAAGCATAAGAAATCAGACAGACCTGGAATGCTGCACGCTCAGAACTACTGATATGCATAACAGAAGTTCATAAATGACCAGCATTTTAATATTCTTCTTATTCTTTCTTCCCACTTATGACAACACATGCTAATCACTCAAACACATTGCAAGATATATTAAAAAAAGTAAAACAATATCACATGTATTCCAAAAACCTGAATTTAGATTCCCACCTATCAGAAGACACAGTATAGCTTTTGATTCAATTTTACTGTTCGCTAACTTGTGAAGGAAATATACAGCTCTTGTGAAATATAATTTCAGGATTTTTTAATGACAATTAGAACAGCAGATGGCTATGAAAAAGAACATTTTTTAATTAATTGATCAGAAAAAGTATCTCAAACCTCAGGTATATTGCATGAGTGAGCAGTTCCTTATTCACAGTTGCACTATAAAGCAAAATGGAAGGATTTAAGTTGCACGCATCAGATACCCTCTACAAAAGCAATTTCCTTATTTCACCACCTTTTTTCGCTAATGCAAGTTTCTTGCTATTCTTCTTTTGTTAAGACACTGAACACCTCCTTAAAACAGCGTGCTAAGGCAGCCTTCTCATGCCCTCCTCGGCGTTTAAAATTACTTAAAACTGCTAAATGAAACCAGGCCAGATTCCCGGCTCCGTCCCCAGCTGCCCAGGCCGTTTCACCTGCGCTGCCGCAGCAGTCCCAGGCCCCGAGCCCGCTCCAGCAAGGCTATGCGAGGGACGGCGCCGCCGCGTCCCAGCGAGGGCCCCGCGTCCCCTCGTCCAGCCAGCGGCCAATGCGGGACGGGCGGCAGCCGCGGCGACGGACGGCCAGGCCAGGCACCGCCGGGACAGCGGCCCCGGCGGGACAACACCCCCCGGGCAGCAGCAGCAGCTTCGGGACAACGTCCCCCCGGGGCAGCAGCGGCGCCGAGCGGGGCCCCAGGGCCGGGCCGCGGCTGCCGCCCAGCCTGGAGAGCGCCCGGTGGGCGACAGGGGGCGCCCCACCGCTCTCCCCCGCCCCCCCACCGCGCGGACCCCGCCGGGGGGGGGGCTTTGGGAGGCTCCACCGCCTCCCCGCTCCGAGCCGCCCTCACCCGCCCTCAGCGCCCGCCGTCCCAGGCCGGATCCTCACCCGCTGTTGTCGCTGCAGACAACGCCCGCGGCTCCCTGCGGGATCTGGCGGCGAAGAGCTGAGGGACGGCGGGGCTCGGCGCGGCCGCGGCACGGGCCCCACTCTGGCCGCTCCCGCCGCATGGAGGGGGAAGGGCCGGCCGGAGCGATGGGAGAGTAGGGGGCGTGGAGGAGCAGAGCCAGGGCGGGACGCGATGGAAGGGGGAAGGGGGGAAGTGCGGCCGCGGGGCTCAGCGCCGGCGGGAGCGCGGGGGCCGCTGCCGCCGCCTCATCCCCAGCCGCGCCGCACCGGGCCCGCGCCGCCGCCCGGCCGCCGTCGCCCGGCAACGCGCGCGCCCTCGCTGCCGCAGGCGCGCGGCCCCGTGTGCAGGCTGCGCGTGCGCCGCCCTCAGGAACGCGCAGGGCCAGGCTTCCCTCTCCCTCACGGCGCCAGGGGGCGCTGCAGGCACGGACAAGCCACGGGGCGGGGCCGGACGGAGATGGGAACGGGAGGGTGCAGGGCTGGGAAAGGGAACGGGAGGGTGCAGGGCTGGGAAAGGGAACGGGAGGGTGCAGGGCTGGGAGAGTGCAGGGCTGGGAAAGGGAACGGGTGAGTACACGGATGGGAAAGGGACGGAGAGAGGGACAGCGTCAGCTCGTGCTCCCGGCTAATCGCTGGGGGTTGCCGTGTGGTGGGAGCCAGCCGCGAGGGGAGTGTGTGCTCCGATTTCGGAAGAAAATGGGAAAAGGGGGACATCTCCCTTGGCTTTGCCCCCTTCGGACACCTAACCCCCTAGCTGAAACAAGATGAGGAGGCTTAGAGAGGATGGCAGGTGTTCTATAAAAAGCACTGTCTTTTTCCAGTTTTGCAGGTCACAGGAATAGGGATGGAGGATGAAATAAAGGATATGACTAACCACAGATATATTTAGGCCTAGTTTTGGGATGAGCCAAGGTTAGCATATGCAGGTACTTAGACCTTTAGCTCAATAGGATGCAAATGAGCGCTTCAGCGTAAGATTAACAAAAATTTGCAAATACTTCAGGCTTTGCACAAAACACATTTGAAGAACAGATGCTCTGCAGAACTCAGGGCTAGCATGTAGTTGCCTCCTATCAGTTTCAGTGTTGCTAGTGCCTATATTCAGCTTCCCAAAGCATCCTGAAACCAGTATCAGCTTTCCTTTAAAATAAGATCTGGACCATTTGGACCATATTGGGATGGCCCACTTGTAGGAAAAAAATCTGGAAACTGTGAGGAGTACATTTTGAAAGCTCAAAAACCCAATGGAATACAGAAAGAATTTATTTCCATTTAATAAACTCAGGAATTTAAAGCAAATTTCACAGCTTGGGATGCACCATTTTGACTCATCCATTCTCTGATGTTTAGGTTTGACAACACTGCTACACATTCTGTTCATGGTGGTGACTTGTACCTAATCAAGCAGTATATTAGCCAAAGTTCAGTTCTGTTGTATGTTTTACTGGAGACTCTTCTCCGTTGATCTTTAATATCTCATACTTCTTTAAATGTTATTTGTTTCATAAAATATGTGGCACAATTTTTAAAAATACGGTTAGAATATTAATAATTCAGGTAGAAGGGACCTACATTGCATCACTACATCCATACTTGTAGAATTGATTGCGCTGTAGCTGAGGTGATTACCTAGGAGGAAAAAAAAACATTCTTGAAGTTGGAATTGTTCTTGAACTGGATTTGTTGTCACAACGATGAAGTGTGTGGACTGATATTAGACTGTTAAATGGAAGCAGCTATGTTTTTTATGCACAAAAATTCAATCCTGTGCTCAATGAAGTAGGGGAGTATTTTAGCATTAATTTCATTCTGCATAATACCACAACTTGTTTTGAAATCTATCTGCTTGTTACCTGTTGGTTTAGAAAAGATGAAATAGAAACAAGGTTGAATTTTTCAGGATCATGTGAAATATTTTTTCAGTGCGATTTTTGTACTTAAGTCTGAAGCTTTCTTTGAAAAATCTAATCTGTGTGCTGGGAAAAACTGATCGTTATTTCGATCACACATATAAAAGTTTATAAATAGCAGAGGAACAGACAATACACATCAGTGTGGTGATTTTGGATCATGTAAAGGACTGACAGATCCACTCTGTATACAAGGAAAATTGAAACAAAGACATTAAAACACTTGACCGAAGCCACGAGGCACAAGTTGAACGCTAACAATTTGTATGCACTTGGACTGCAAGTATCAAACTTTGTGACCACTTTGAAATATGGAAATGTAATATTTTTCTGTCCTTTTTTTTAAACATGGATAGAAAAATAATTGTTAATGCTTGTGGATAGTTTTACTTCCTAACAACTTCCAGCTAAGGTATAACACCATGGAGGGGTTTTCTTTATGTCATTAAAAGCAGAGTAAAGTAACAAGTTGAATTTCCATTTTCATTTTCTTTCCTCAACCTTTTAGTTTAGCCTGTAAAACCAGAAATTAAAAAATAGGATAAACAGTGAAAAAGTAGGCTGCCCTCCTTTTTGAGGGCATTTTCCTTCGCTCCCTCCCATATCCTCACCCTACTAGCTCTCATTCCCTTACTGTCTTAGCATCAAGATTCACTGGCTGACTATAGCTAACTTGTCTTCTACTCCCTCAAACCAATTAGTTCATCTATTTAAGTCATGCATCAAAGAAGCCTGCCCTCTCTGAGCACACAGCTCACTTAGGGCTCAATCTGATAGTCTTCAATTTTTAAGGCAACAAGAGTTTGCAATTGACTCAAATTATATGTGGGTCAGACTTTTTAAGTTCTGATTTCTTTACAAAAACTGTGGCATGATGAAGAGGCTGCTGATGCCTATCACCATTTTCTTTCATCTTCCTTTAACTGAAAAACACAACATAGGCCAAAGTCCTTAAATAACAGAGAAAATAACTAAAACATCTCCCATTCTCAACTGCTGCTTATTCACTGTCTGTTCCAAAAAACAGCAAAAATTGGATTTGTTTAATCCTCAAAATCGTTACTTTCAAGGTGCATAAGAGACTCTGAAATAATTTTTATAATGCTTGAACCTTCAATTTATTTCTTAATTTCTTACTTAATGGAATTGATAGGAAAAGAAGGTAAATGTTTTGTGCAAGTCATCCAAGTTTGTAACTCTCTTTAGCTATTAAGCATTAATTCTAATTAAGGATAAATGGATTATCAACACTAATAAACTTTTTTCTGAGACAAAATATTTGATCACTACTGCCACTTGCCCAGGTTTTAGGTCAACCTCAGCCATTGCTTCTCTGATGTCCAAAGTGCTCATATTTTTTTCTTCATTCTCTCATTTCCAGCCCGATATTTAGGTAAATTATTTTGTCCTCAGACTTCTACAGTGCTAATTATCAAGGGATCCCGATCTGTAGCTTAAGGCTTTAGGCACTAATGTGTTGAAGTTCATGACAGGGAAGACCTCACTGGGTAGAGATACCAACTACCTACAGCTCACATGGTCTCAGAGCTGACACCTCTGCTCTCATGAAAACCATTTTTCAAAAAGCATATTGACTAATGAAGTATTAAAAAGTAATTAAACTATCCACTGTTAATCTTTAAAAAAATGTGGCTTGCTTCACATTCTGGATTAACCC